GATCGTGCCAGAGCATATTGGTGATGCACGAACAGGTCCTGGAATTGCTCGCAGTCACCAGCTCTAGGTTCTCGGACCATCATGATGGGGACTGTGTGTTAGAGACCTGGGATACCTACATCAGAGTAGCTGATTTAACTTGAAAGCAGATAGGATTCAAATGCACGTCCTCAGAGGGGGTCATCACCTTGCCTGGATCTGCCACCGCAAGCTGAAAAAACCCCATCGATATTGTAAAATCCTACCTTGCCAGGTCATTGAGGTCCAGCCGCCCATCTTTGTTTTTGTCAAAGATTTTCATCTAAAGGGCAAGAAGACAGAGATAAAATAGATAGGCCATGAGGAGGACACACAGACAAAAAAGCCAATATACATTTTGCTCTGCCCCATACCCTCACCTCTGCTTGCTCAGGGTGCTTGCCCGAGCCCCCGGAGGCACAGCGATTGTCGCTAGCACCAAGTGCAAGGGTGGCACAAGGGCACAGCAAAACTTCCCTGCCTTCTGACAGCAACAGCCCAAGCAATCAAACACCAGCACTGCTCCCTTCCCACCTTACACAGGGATAAAGACAGGTCTCCAGCAAACGCCTTAAGAAACTAAATACTGGCCTTGCCATGGCCCCTCAAAACAAATACCAAAAATAAAGGGAATTTCTAAACACCTTCAGCCTGACTCCATCCTTATCTTTGACTGTTGCTGTGGCTAAAGAGCAGCTGAGGTGCAAATGTCACCTTCTGATAGATACTCAAGTCAGGGTTTTATGCCACTAAAGCCAGTGGGCTTTGCTTGGCTGAAAGCCTGCCCTCGGAAAGCGCTAAGACTGGGAAGAAGATTCAGGCTGCCAACGTCAAGAGGTTAATCTGTGTGAATACAAAACTTATCCTTTCCTTAATATTATCTTTTTCCTTACTACGCTCTTTACGATGAGTCACCATCAGATTTTATTTATTTATTTATTGTATTTGGTACTGTGTTTCTCTGCAAGGCACAAATAAGAGTCTGTTACAGG